TATTTTAGCCACCTCAGCCCTCAACAGGGACAAGTCAAGGGCGGGCGTAGATGTTGGCGCTGGTACGGCATAGGTAACGGTGGCGGCATAGGAAGGCCGCACAGCCTCCATGACGTTATCTGCGACTGCTGCTAGGTTGTCCAGGTCCTTGGAATTCAGACACAGTAAGCACGGCTCGCACTTGTGTTGGAAGACGACTCTGCCACAGCACGCGAAGGGTTTCATCAGGAACCTTGTCAGTAGCGAGCTCACGTATCCGACGAAGCAGCTGAGATGGTTTCTGCTCGCCCAGCTCTAGCTCGCTCATAAGCTTCTCGATCTGCCTCGACATTGACTCCTCATAGATGTAGAGCAGCCGAGTTTTGAGGGCGTTGTACTTGTAGGTAGGAGGCGGGTTTAGTAATATGTCCGTCACTTGCACGATGACCTCCTTACTTAGCTTGGACACGACCAGGTCAAACTTCGCTTCATCACTCATCCACTGAGGTGCGAGGATAGCTTCTGTGCGTACGAACCATACGCGTGGCTGGTCCGTCCAAAAGTCTGAGAGGCGAGACTGTAGAGACACTGCATCTACACCTGGTGCCATAATGGGCGGTGGCGCGGGTGGCTGGATGTCTTGAATGGGTGGCACGTTAACAGGCGGCATGTTCTGCGGCGTTGGCGGACACGGCGCACTCATGTTACTATATAAATTGTCCGTCCGATCACAACCACGCGAATATTGCCCACTACTGAATTAACATCACGTCGGGGTGACCAGTTTAGGAGCTGACTCCATAGGGGTGCCTATTGGTGCCATAATAGAAGATGAAATCTTTTGCTAATATTTATTATAGCGGAACGTGCAATACAGTTGGCGGGCAACTAGTATCTAACTGAAAAATCTTATTCACTAAGTATATAGATACAACATTGCAAAGTATACATGCGTGTATGTGTGTGCGCAGCACACCTACACGTGTACCGCGTCCTTGAAAGTAATAGTAAAACAGAAAAGTTCCAGCCTTTTTTGCTACTCTTACCAATCTCAAGAAAAAAAATGCTAAACTGCTAACCAATATTAAAGAGGAAACCAAATTCTAGCTTTTGTAAGATTTAAAAAAATCTGAATAGTAAATCGTTTTTATAAAATAGAGGAATATTTAAAGAATCGATGATTTTATGTTGCCTTATAAACTTGTTTAAATTGTTTAGTTATTTTATTTAATTAGTAATTATGTGTCCCGTTTTTATGTTTATTAGTAAATTTTTAACCTACCAGTTATTTTCGCAACGCCTGTAAAAGGTTAATAAGTGATAAGTACCTTTTGTAATAAATATAAGTAATACTTCAATGTATAGTTAACTTATTTTACATTTAGTGAGCAAATAAGTGATATATGTAGTGAGCCAATAAATAACTTCAATGTATAGTAATAGTTAAGACAGAAGAGCAGACCTACCGCCAAGTATAAATAAATAAATACTAGGCGCTAGGTCTCATTTTGATCTAGTAGTTTGTGTAGTTAGGCCCACTCATCTACGTCTGCTGCAATGCGTGCCCTGCTGGGTAACGATCTGAAGGGTTTATCATAAATAAGCATTCTATCTTAGCTCTCAGAGGTGACCAAGGTAACGGTACAGATGTAGCTTACCTGTTTGAAGTTGGTTGGCGGTCTCCATGGGCTACAGTAGCCTTTTATCATTATATGGGCTGCGTAAGTTCCCTTGGCATTTCGATTTTACAAAGAATCTATACACTTTTCACAGCTGGACACAGTTCTTTTATAAATTTGGGGAGAAAAGTGAGCACAAAATACATACTTTATAGGAGAGGGGGCAAACGAGTATACGACTCACCTGATGGTAAATGACTACCGCCGCCTATCAACAATGCCATGAACATGGGGGCGGATTTGCTTCTTCGCCGGACGATCCCAACATTGTTGCTAATTTTGTCGCTTATGTTTTACTACAGGGCATGGAACTTTTTATTCTGTGATGTCCATCGGAAGCAGATGTCCGCAATAGTTTAGTTCAGCCATGTATTCAATCATATGTAGTTCAATCATGCTGTCAAGGGCTGCAAGTAAAAATTATTGAGGTAAAAATTAAAGTTTAAGTAAAAATTAAAACGTAGTTCCAGGTTAACGATTTATTTATTTTATTAATGGAATAAGAAGTTTTAACAAAGTTTTTTATATGTTTTAATGCGACTTTTGATACCGTAAACACTTTTCAAAACTTTTTAAGGATCTGGCTTATCGCTACAAGCTACCCTTATTACATCATTCACATGAGAATCCGTAAGTTTTTTCTGTGCACGTTATTTGAGTATTTCATTTTGTAAAAACACGATTCGCACAAATATGTTGACCCAAAGAATGTTAGTAGTATTTGGGCACATCTTTGGACGTCGTAACGGCTAAAAATAAAAAAAAACCGTGGTTGCCATCCTGCTTCACAAACGTGGCCACTATGGCAAATATCTTCCCCTATTAGCCAATCTATGGAGAAGGCCTATGTTCAGTAGTGGATTTTAATAGGCTGTAACGTTAACGGTAGTTCTACCACGTAAAAATATTTTACTTCTGGAAGTTCATAGAAAATACTGTCTGCCGCAGTGCTCCAGTTCCTGTAGGCCTTTGTCTCTTCTTCGTCATCAGTCCATCTTATTTTACTGCAGGACATGCGTCTATACATAGTAGAGAACATTTATCATAGTCTCCTTACATCACTGACAGGAGGAAACGGAGAGATGGGTTCTCTTTAGCCGTTAAAAAAAAATTAATAAACAAAATTTTCATAAAATTTCAAGCTTTTTTTAGTCCAGTTCTATTAATAAATCTTTTAAGTGACACTCGACAAAATTTAGAGCAAAAGACATAAAATCGCACCGTATGCGACCGCAGTAAATCTAAATTAACGTCCAGCAACATAAAAATTTTTCATCTCTAACTGAAATAAGTTCAGTTACCTTAAGGTGAATAAGGTAGGTGTTATTATGAGCTAGGGTTGGAAGTCTTTTGTGTCAACACGTTTTTGCCGGCTTACTCCCAACAGAACTGAGTTCGAACTAATCGGATTTTATTCAAACTCAAGGTAGAATGAACTTAGAACGAAAGTTTACAGATATCAACCGCTGGTTAGCACAACTAGTCGTAAGCAACTGGAATGGCTTTTTCTGATGACTTTGTCCTAGTATGTAATAACAATATTTGAGAAGTAAAATTTTTATTTTCATCTCTCCCATTCTGCACAGGGAGAACGACTCACTTGCCCATGCCACAAAGTGAAAAATCGATCTGTTAGATTCTCTCTTTGCATCTAACTCGAATCTCGATGACAGAGGGAATACACCATCGACGATCCTACGGTGTGCTTGCGTCCCTCCCACTGTGCTAAAGACGTGTGCGCCCGAGTATGTAACGGTTTAAACGCGCCTTTTCTGGTATATCTACGCCCAAGGCGTAGTCTCGATTTCATAGAAGACAGCGTTTGTTCACCCAATCCCCAAAAAAGGCGACTGCTCTGACCCGTCCTATTTCAGACTTATTGCCATCACCTCTTTGTTTTTCAAAATAATGGAATCCATTATAAACAGCCGGCTGATCAGCAGATCTTCTGGTATACCTGACTCATAGATTTGCGGTCCAAGAAGGAGGCATTGCAGTTAGTTTTGATCTAGCGAAGGCCCATGATTGGGTTTGACCCAAAACGATTCTTTCGAAGCTCCCTTCCTATGGGCTTCCCGAGAAATTGTGCAATTGGATTACCAGTTTCCTTGCTGATCGGAGCATCACGGTCGCAATAGACGGTGCATGCTCTGATTACAAGCCTATTAACGCTGGTGCTCCACAAGGCTGCATGCTATCACCTATGTTTTTACTGCTGCGTATCAATGATATGCTGCAAACCAGTAGCATTCATTGCTATGCAGATGACAGGTGATGCTTTTTACACCGGTCTTGCAAATATTTCTCGGTATTACGTCATCTAGTACCGGAAAAGACTTTTATTAGAAGTCGAGTCGTTAAACAAAGTCTCGAATTGAGGAAGACTAAACCTAGTCCAGTTTAACGCTCTGAAGGTACACGTAGGTTTGCGTTGTCGGTTGCAGGGTGCAGGTTGCAGGTTTACCGCTAAAAACACCCCTTTGTCGTATCTCTACCATTACAGGGCACTCCCCTTGCTGCACTACATCTTTGTGGAATTGCTTACCACCGACGATTCCTAAAAGACGACCAAGCACTTGCATTCCCCTGGTGCTGCAGTTATTCACGGGCGGCAGTTGTCACTTACCATCAGGTCCGAAGGTCCGAGCACGATATCGTCAGCAGTAGGTACCCGTAGAGGTGGTACGGGTGCAGCAGCGAGCCCAACACCAGCGCGTGCAGGTAGACGGGGCGCAGCAGGCGCGCCAGCAGCGTTCCCGGCAGCCCCACCACGCACCAGCGCACCGCCTTGTCCGAGCACGACATCGTCAGCAGTAGGTACCTGTAGAGGTGGTGCGAGTGCAGCAACGAGCCCAGCAATTTTTTTCGTAAAATTTTTCTTTGAGGGACTCTTTACCATTTAAGTAATAAATTGCCCGTACAGTCCTCTTATGAGAAAGAAATGTGTATTGATGTGAACCACTTTAACACTCCAGTAGTCGCGCGTTCTACCATTGTAGAACGCTTGTACATTTTGTTGAATTTTGTCGCAAGTTGAAGGTCACTCACGCACACATTCTCAGTATTCCTCTATTACTAGGCAATAAACAATTGTAGTGTCCTTGCAGCGACGGACGCGGCCGCATGTCTGTGAAATTTGGCGCCAAAAGGGAATTTCTACGATTGTAGAGCGCGCGACCACTCGCGTGACATTTTTCTCGTAAGTTGCCGTTCATAGTTTTTGTTGTAATAATGTTTATTACCTTTTTATTTATTGTTATGTTTATTTATTTTTATTGTTATGACATGTACAACTTATTGTAAGGTTAGCAGTAACAAGAGTGGCCCTTTTTTTTCAGAGAAATGGCTTCCCGGAGTGAAGAAGAGAGAATTAGTAGATGGCTGGAGGAAGAAGACTCCGATCCTAGTGATATAGCAGAGAGTGACCCTGAAGATCGATTGTTAGAAGAGGAATGGTTGGAAGAATCCCAGCACGATACGGACACGGAACAGGAAGGAAATAGCACAGAGTCCGACCTGGAACGAGGTATGATTACCACCCATGAATCCGATTTAGATTCCGATGATATACCCCTAAGTTCACTTAGAGACCAATATTATACGTCCAAAAATGGTACTAAATGGAGGAAAACGCCTTATCCTGTCACAAGAACACGTACTTGTAATATTCTTACGGAACGAGCAGGGCCTAAAGACGCAGCCAAAAATGCGAAGTCCGAGCTAGAATGTTTTGGACTGTATTTTGATCAATCTATTATAGAGATCTTAGTAAACTCCACTAACATCTATATTGAGCACGTAAAATCCAAATTTTATAGAGACAGAGATGCTAAATTGACAGATATTTTAGAGATTAAAGCATTCCTTGGCATGCTCTTTGTGATGGGTGTCCATAAATCCGGAAGACGGAACTTGGAGGATTTTTGGAATACGAACCGAGGTACAGGTACCGAATTAATTTATCTCGTCATGTCACTAAAAAGATTTAGATTCCTGCTACGAACAATACGATTCGACAATATAAGAGACAGAGACGTACGTAAACAGCATGACAAGCTAGCTCCTGTGAGAGATATTTTTGAGAAACTGGTCGCCAACTTTCAAAAACACTTTGTGCCGGGTGAATATATGACATTAGATGAACAACTTGTAGCTTTCCGAGGACGTTGTCCTTTCAGACAATATATTCCGAACAAACCTGCTAAATATGGTATTAAAATCTTTCTACTAGCAGACGCTAAAGTACCGTACTCCTACAACATGGAAATATATGCGGGTGCCCAGCCTCCCGGTCCATATGAACAGTCGAACAAGGTTGTGGATATTGTGAATCGAATGCTTACTCCCGTGAATAACTCGAGTCGTAATGTCACGATGGACAATTATTTCACGAATATAGAGCAATGCACAGAGCTTCTAAATAAAAAAATTACCGTTGTTGGCACTTTGAAAAAAAAACAAACCACAAATTCCCGAATCCTTCAAGCTTACTAAACATAGATGTGAGAATCATTCAATATTTGGTTTCCAAAAAGAGGGGACTTTAGTATCATACGTGCCAAAAAAAAACAAGGTGGTGCTAATGTATTCTTCTATGCACTATGATGGAAATATCGATTTGACAACAGGAGAGAAACGTAAGCCAGAGATAATAACATTTTATAATAATACAAAATATAGCGTGGATATTGTGGACAAAATGTGCGGTTCTTACGACGTTTCCAGAAACTCCAGACGTTGGCCGCTCACTGTATTCTTTGATATGATGAATATAAGTGCCATAAACGGATATGTTGTGTTTACAATAAACAAGGGCTACAGTAACAAGCCACGAAAAGATTATTTGTACGAAATTGGTTTTCACCTTGTCGCTCCGTGCATAAAGCGCAGAATAACTGTCGAAAGCATTCCAAAATCCCTGAAAATAAAAGGAAAACTTCTTTTGGGTCTAAATGATCCCTCCGAGTTGAACCCGGGCCCAGCACAACCCTCAAACATCGGACGTGTTGGTAAATGTTCTTTCTGTGGCAGAGCGCGCAACAAGTCCACCAGGAAGCTTTGTTATATATGTAACAAGTGGATTTGTCTCGACCATCAGGTTCTTCTGTGTCCCGACTGTGCCAAAAACGAAGAAATGGAGGTGGAAGACATGACAGATTAAGAAATATGAGACTTATAATGTTAAGAGCAAAAATTTTGCGTTTTTTTTTTGTTATTTTCAAAAAGGCTGTTTTTTAGTTCCTATTATGTTTAAATATGATTATGTTTTGTTTCTTTTAGCTTTATAATAATAAAGTTTATCTCAATATTATACAAATACTTTTTATTTATGCAACTTTGCTTTAAAACTCCATCATTAAATATGTTCTACAATTGTAGAGCGCGCGACTACTAACGTCCCAAATAGAGGCGCGCCTACTGGAGTGTTAACCAGTAGCAAAATTCCATCAGACATTACGCTATGGTAGTAACTAAATTGACACTCAAGGTACAAATATTTACATGGACTATTCTTTTGTAAACTATGTAGTAGTTTCAATTTATGAAGCTATTAAATTATATGGAAATTATTTAATTGTTTTTAGTTTGTTGAAGTAGTTCTTTTACTTGCTTTGTTATTTTATTTTTGAATATCAATACAATGTTATAAATAACAGTACAGGAGAGATTGGAAATATGCTGAAAACACAAACGAAAATTGGATTTTACAGTAAACAAACCGCATCTATCTGCTTCTCTTTACCCTGTAATATAATTGTAGGCCTGTGTTTTTTGTCGACTCCAGGAGCTTAATTTTGGCGACGTGAATAGGTACGGTGATAAAGTATGACAGGTAAGTAGAACATTATAGAAAAATTAAAAGAGATTAAATAGTCATATGAGCGTTCGATAATGAATGACCATTTATTATAAGTTACAGAAAGACCTGAAACTTTTTATAGAAAGGGTGACCATAGAGCAACACGGGCCACCGGTAGATCGGAGGGGAGTAGACATACGAAAGCGTTTCCCTCTGTCAAAGTGTAAGTCCACGCGGTCCTATACATACAATAAAACTGGTTGCAGCCGCAATGCTCACCAGACTAAATCTAGTGTGCGCAGACTTTCCTTCGCAAAAAATGACTGACGTTCTGTATCGGGATAAAACGCTTTAGCTCCGGTCCGCCAGTGGCCCGTGTTGCTTTATGGTATCTATCAAATAAATATCTCTTTCTTTCTTTCTACAATATATAATGATTTCTTAAATTTACGCGAACACTACACATTAAATAAAACTAAATTTACGGATTTTATCGCGTTTATTTAACTGATTTTACTTATTTTTTATTCCCAACGTTTCGGGTGCTTTACAGCACCCATGGTCACGGGGGGGGGGACTGAGATGTTTAACGTCCCAATGTCATAGTTAGCCCGGCTACCTTCAGTTTTTTAATATTAATTTTTCGGTCCAATTTACGCAAAATGAGCTTACCGTATCTTGAAGTCTTGCAGGGGTATGCTTGAGTTTGGGTTTAATTTTGTTAATTACAGGATCCCAAGCAGATAGCAGCACCCATCCATCTTCTCTATTGAAATTAGGATGTTTATTAATTTCAGTAGCCTCACGTATCATCTTTGGTAGGAATCGGTGTTCTTTTCAGAGGATTTGTGGTATCAAATCTGATGTAATGGTGGGGACGATCTTGAACATGTTCACAGACTGCAGACTGTAGATTCTCGACAAGGCACCCCGAGACAGGTTGTATGCGAGAATTTATATGGAAGCTTAGTTCTTCTCTTAGTGTATCTTGACATTAGTTAGTTGCTATTTTCAGTCTCGCTCAGAGTTCTGCAGACGTGTATACTAAAGACTGCATACCTCGTAAGACTTCGATGTGTGGTAATTATCTATTATTTTCGTTTACAGCATTAGTACTTTTTAATTTTTTATGATATTTATTTAAACACTCAATTTAACTAAATATTACGAAAGTGTTTTTAAGAGAATCACCCTGTATATACGATTCGTAAGCGGTGCGTCCTGCAATAGCAGCTCACGCACTTAACAAATAATAAGTGTAGTTTCTTACGTCACCCTCATATTTGTTACTGTAGGCGATATCGGTACACAGTAAAATTTCTATAAACCTATGACAGTACCGTAATAATAATGTTTAATTAATAACTGGAATACGTGAAATAAATAATTTATCCCGTAAAATGTAAAATTCACAGTGTGAGAGCATTCCAGGTTCTATCCCCCAAGTACCAATGAAATTGCTAGTTTCAATTTACCCGTGTTCGGCGTTGAAGGAAAATATCGTGATTAAGCCCGCATATCTGATAAATAAAAAAAAAATTAAAAACTTGTTAAGTTCGCCAACACGCATTGGGGAAGAAATTTTATTGCCCTTAAACCCTCTCAGAGGTAAGAAGAGGCCTTCGTTTAAAAGGTGGACATATATACGAGTACTCGTACATAGGCTATAACTTTAATTTTTTAACACAGAGAAAAGCATCATTGACTTTTGCAAATTTGTCAATTTTCTCGGATTTCACGAGTACAACTAATTTAAGCGACAAGGCTTCTCGTGTTAGACATAGCGACTTTACTTGTAAAAAAAGTGTACAGCAGCAATGTTTAGTATTTTTAGCCAGACCGGCGATCGGAAACAGCGTTAGAGATTCAAAAACACCAGGTTCGTATGGACCTAATAGGAAGGACCTTTGTTCAGCAGTGTACTGTTGCAAATTGGTAGAGGAAGGATTTTTTAAATAGAATAATGGTGACAAACGATAATACAGTCCACTTAATGGTGTGTGGATGCTGTGGCCCATAGACGTCTACATATATCATCGTATAAGAATCAAAATGTATATGCGTTGTCACTCCCGAGGACTAAATGTAAAGCCTCGTTTTTGCGTCTCCAGTTCTTTACACCCATCACAATTACAACATCATTATGCTGTTGCTTCACAATGTGAAACTCTGGTCAAATCGACACATTCGTGCTGCAACTATAGTATAGTTGCAACGTGGCTTTAACGCGTATTAAAATATATTAATATTTATATACACATTTTGTCTATTATTATTATACATACTTCCGGTCCTGAGAAGTTTATTTTTTTTTTGTAAAGAAAATACTACTGCAATTTTCATTACTATAAATACATTTATCTCCTTTACGACATATTTTTGATTTATTGGATATAATTTTAGGTCGTTTCATTCAAAGAGTACATTTTATGAGAAAATTTATTTCAGGCTTAATTCGAAAACATGTGGATAGAATTAATAGCGGATATGTCTTCCACTTAGCTGTCTAAATAAATAGCTCGTTCTTATTTTAGTGTAAAAAGAAATATTTCTTATACGCTTTGAAGTTTAAAACATTGTAACAATTTGTAATCTTTCAGGGAGGCAATTTCATAAAAAAATAAAACAAACATTTTAAATTTATTTTTCCGCCGACGATACCCATCATTAAAAAATTATCATCATCTAATGATGATAATTCATTATTACAACTCTTTATTAGTCTACTGCTGAATATGTGGAAAGCCTTTCCACAAGGAATGTCACAAATCACGGTCCTGAGCGACCTGCATCTGTTGACTTCCTGTATGTCTTATCAGGTCTTTGCCAATAGCGTGGGGCCGTTTTCTACTTCGCTTACCTTTACGAAACTTTCACTTTCCAGGAGATCTTTCTTCCCCATTGGTCGTCGGACCAACTCTTGTTTTATTAGTATAAAAAGGTTTCTGCATCCCCGCGTCTACGGGTGCCTCTATTGGTCCCGTAGCGGTAACGCCGAATTAGATCGACTCATCGACGACGTCTAAATGGCTACAGATTCCTTGCTACAGCAGATCCCATTCGCAGAGATCGTGATCATTGGTGATTTTAACGCTCGCGTTTGACCGATCATGCGGGGTGAACTGTTTATGACTTTACCTTGACATACGGGCTTCCCAAGAAATTGTGCAATGGGATCACCAGTTTCCTTGCTGATTGAAGCATCAACGTGGTAGTAGATGGTGCATCCTCTGATTATAAGCCTATTAACGCTAGTATTATACAAAGAATCGTGCCATAATAGTTAAAAAAACGCAGAATGCGTTGCCATTCCATATAACTAAGATGGAATGCCTCATTTCTCGTAAAAAAGCCTGGTTCTGTGCCCTCACTATACCAAAGCTCTTTCTTCTGCATATCAATGATATGTTGCAAACTGGTAACATTAATTTCTGTGCAGAAATCAGTACTGGTAATGCCTTATACACCGGTCGTGCTATTATTTCTCGGGAAAACGTGACTGAGTATTTGGGAATAACGTGTGTCTGAAGTCGAATCTTTGCTGAACGAAGTCTTGGATTGAGGACGAATAAATCAAGTCCGGTTCAATCCCCAGAAGACACAATTTTGCGCGTTTATTGCTAAAATAACCCCTTTATCGTATCTCCTCAGTTTCAAATCACTCCTCTTGCTGTCTCAGCTAGCATCGAATTACTCGGTGTCGACATAACGAATAGTGTGCAGTTTCATGGTCACTTCTAGACAGCTTAGCGTGTTCAGCAGAGTGAAACTGTATTCCATGCCGGCACATCGCTTGCAACTTTACAAAGCGAAAGTTTACCCTCACATTGAATACTATTCTCATCTTTGAGCTGGGGCACCCCAGTTCCAGCTCCTTCTACCTGACCGCATCTAGCACAGAGTAGTTCGAATCGTCGACGACCTAGTTCTTTCTGATCAGCTCATTTCTCTATCACTACATAGGGATGTTGCATCCGTTTGCATTTTCTATCGTATTTACCACGGGGAATGCTCTGAGGAATTGTACGGATTAATTTCAGCCGCCGAATTTCACGAACGCACATCGCGTCAAAATTCAAAATACCATCCCCACCATCCAAATGCTTGGTATTCGTTCCTCTACAGTCACCATACGAAATACAGTAGCAAAGTTAGTATTCTTTGAGAACTTGGTTTTGCCTAGTAGAGCCATTCTTGCTGCAACTATATATAGTTGCAGCGTGGTTCTACTACGTAAAAATTTTAATATTGTAAGCCATTGATAAAATAAGCCCCGTGGTTATGCAGCCATAAAGCGCACTGAATTAGCTTAACAAAAGGTCCATCACTGTGCGTTTTATTGGGAGCTGAATGTATTCCTCGTACAATTTCTCTGTGGAATTGTTTACCACCGGTGATTTTTCTTTTTCGATACGACTTAGGGAAAAGAGCTTACTCCTTTCTAAAAGGCCGGCAATGCACCTGCAATTCTCCTGTTGTTGCGGGTGTTCGTGGGCGGCGGTAGTCACTTACGATCAGGTAAGCCATTTGGTCGTTTGCCTCCTCTCCTTTAAAAATAGCTCTCCATACGTAACACAACAGCACCATAATATATACATATATAAGCACTAGAATAGAGTATTACGCTAGTTTTCTGTGAGAACGTTGCTTTCCCGGGCGAGCTGACTAATTCGTGCTTGCAGCATTATGCTGCAGCTTGACTCTACATCACTGAAAACATTAGTTTTTGACGTTGTGAATCAAGTATATAAAAAATTATTTATTTATTCCTATTTTATATAACGCGCTGTTATACCTTTCATCAGATTGCGGTAAAATTTTGTCAACTTTTTGAATCTGCGCATGAACTTCGCTAGGGTATCACTTAGGTATAATTAACTCACCGTAGGTGGCGCTCAAATCGTCATGATAAATTTATTTAGTAGTTGTATATTATTTAACTTCAATGGATGCATTATCATTCCTAACTAAACAATATAAGTCTTTTAAACTTAAAACTATATTTCCACAATTACTTCTTCTGCTTCTTCTACTCACTCACTCATCACGAGATCTCCTATTGACTCCAAATTTGGCAAATATACTCTTTTCTCGACGTCGACCCATTATGTTTAACTAAAGGATTGATGTGAAGAATCGACGCTCCGGGAAGTCTGCAGTCTGTGAACACGTACAGGATCGCCCCCGTCACTACATCAGATTTGATAGACCGCAGATCCTCGCTAAAGAACACCGATTCCTTCCAAGGATGATTCGCGAGGCTATTGAAATCAAAAAACATCCTAATTTCAATAGAGAAGATGGCTGGGTGCTACCATCTGCTTGGGATCCTATAATAAATAAAATTAAATCCCAACCCAAGCATACAACTGCAAGACTTCAAGATACCATAAGTTCATACTGCATAGATCGGAACAAAAGCTAAATTTTAATCTATGGTAACCGCGGTTAACTATGACATATGGACGTTGAACATCTCAGTCCTGCCCGTGACCATGAGTGCTGTAAAGCGTTCGAAACGTCGGGTATTTAAAAAGTTAAAATATACGCGATAAATTCCGTAAAAACTAGTATTATTTCAATGTGTAGTGTTCGCGTGAAATTATATATATATATATATATATATATATATATATATATATATATATATATATATATATATATATATATATATTTCATCATTAACTAAAGGATTTTCAAAAATACAACACCTGAGGGCTTGAGCTTGCCTTACATAAATACTCTGTCTGTTTAAAGACGTTATATGTCTATACATATTTGATTGTTTTATCGTTATGCATGTTATATTTTACCTGTCTCTGTATTTGCTTACCTTTTCATCGTTTACTGGTCTATGAAGATTTCTTCATCAAGTTTTCATTTATATTGTATCGTTTATCCGTAAAATTAGTTTACTGGTTCAGTCAATTTATTATTCTATCGGACATATTCTTGAACATCTATAAGGAAAAAGAGTTGTCGGATGCTCCATTTAAAAAGTGATGACCTGATTAATCGTGTAGTATCAGTTGCTATGAGCTCAGTTAACATCCAAACTTCCTTTCCTTTCCTTTACAGCCTATAAAAGTCCTCTGCTGATTATAGGTCTCCCCCACAGATTTCCCTCATAGGAGGGACTTTGCCCTATTTGCCATACTTGACAGGCAACCCATTAGTTTAGCAACCGCCGTTTTTTATTACTTTAAGTTGTTATTGGGTTTTTTATTACTTTAAGATGCTGCTGCCCATCTCCTATTTTAGTTTCCCTCTGTCGCCTCTCACAACACCCACGGGACAATATGGAGTAGTAGGTATTTTTACACCACTGCAACACAGTTTATAATATACAACCATGGATTTAAAAAGGTAATGATGATAGTGATTATAAAATTGTCTCCTACATTTGATGCTGCATCCCAGCGCCGATATGAATAATGACGAAAATGAGATGGTTTACTGCTATCTATCGAAAGTCATAAGATTTTTCTAGTGTTTTCCATATTTTCTTACAACTACATTTCATAGATTCTCTAACGCTACGATTTCACGTCAAGTACTATATATGTAAATGGTATATAAACTTGTATGTCGCAAACTAGAAAATATATATATTTTTTAATTTATGTCAAGTCAGCAAACACGCACGGGGGCTTTACGGTGAACTCTTACTTATTAATTTCAAATATCTGCTCAGAAATGAGAAGAGACTTTCCATCCATCGATTACATCCACAGTAATATAATATAAAAGCATACAGCTGAACACGCACACCCCCCCGGGCCTTACCCATAGATTGTCTCATGGAAGAGATTTTGCCATGATTGTCACTCTTAGCAAGAGGCTTGGCTTATGTTATTAATGGTAGCTTTCCACTGGTATCTTCGCGTACTCTTGTAATAGTTTAATATGCACTGCGTAGTTAAAAAATATCTACTTGTGAAAACATTTTCATGTCATTGAATCTTTGAGCAGCCCTATGAACAGAAGCATATCTCTCTTAGCAGGAAGAATCTTTATACATTCTTTGCAAGGTGCACAGATTGGTGACAGACTTATCAAATTTTAGACTTTGTTTCTCGTGACCACTCTGTATTAAATTTCAAAAGAAGAACCTTTTCCGGATAAATTTTAACTATTATAAATTACTAGTACTTGACTGCTGGTGACGCAGGTGAATGTGGTTAAATGCACTGACTTAGCTTAGCAAAGGCTTATTTAAAATATTATTCGTAATCGTTACTGTAGGATACAGCATAGAGTCCACATGATGGTAAGTGATTGCTGTGGCCCATAGACAGCTACATCTATTCTCAATTACGAATCAAAATGCAGATGCGTTGTAAACCGTGAGGACTAAGATGGAATGGTTCGTTTCCAGTAAAAAGAGTCTCCTGTTCTCTACACTAACCATGCGAAACACAGCAGCATTAAGCTACTATTTCTCGCCACTATTCCGTTAGAGCGAAGTGCTTCCCAACCAAGCCGACCCATTCGTGCAACAACTATACTAATATAACTGCAGCATGGCTCTACCATGTATAAACATAGGCCCTCCCCTATAAATTTCCTCCCAGGGTGGAGGAAAAAATATCAATACGCTTGGGCTTGGCTACCACAGTTTTTTATTAAGTCATTATTAGGAAGACGTTGCTGCCAATCTCCTGATTTGTTTCCCTCTGTCGCCTCTTACGACACTCACGGGATGACATGGGGTAGTTGATATTCTTACACTACCACTAAACGGTGAAAAATGTTAGTATTGATTTAATTCAATGCCCTTAGTCGATTCCTCAAATAACAAAAATTCCAGATAGTGAAATATGATTCAAATTAAATATTATACCAGAATAATTAACTTAATTTACTTAAGTAGGAGGAGGATGAATAAAAGAAATATTGTTATAAATGTAACGTGTATTTAACATAGCACATAAGAAGGCAATGTTGATTACAATGTTATTCTTAAATTTTATAAGAGACAGTTTTCAAATTTATATCTCAACTCCATCATAAAAGAGAAAAGCTATTGTCAATATTTTATATTAATATATAAAAACTCTGCTTTTAAATCGTTTAGGAACATGCAATACTCGTATATATGTATATTTAAATCTCTTTACGTTAAATGCTCCATTTACTTGGCGTATCGCCAACTGCACCGATAAAATAACTATTATCTACTCATATAATACAAAATAATGTTTACACAAAACTCTCATTACTTTTAAAGTCGTATACAAATATATTTTTACTCTCTTTATCCTGCGATGGCACACACACGAACCTGTTTTTTCCCTCGCTCGTTTCACTTACATCTAACGTCACAGAATAAACATTATTGGTCTTAACATCTAAATTCAATATTTGTAGTTGTTTATTGTTAGCAGTGGCGCTCACATCAGATGTCTCATCTATTTCATCATTACTTTGGTTTTCATGAACCTCTACTTGTATGTTATTAATTACTCCATTAACAGCTACTATTTTATTGAGACTGATGCGTTTTTTATCTTCAAGTTTTATTATATCCCCTAAATTATCATTTATTTCATTCATAGCTGCGATCATTTTCATGCTGTTACGCCTAGTGTTTTCAACGTTTACTATTTCGCCAACCTTAACTTGTTGTACTTTCGTATCAAATATTTCTTTGACTTCTTTTATTTTTGTACTGCTCTTATTTAAAAAGTACTTTTGCGATGACGTTCTATTACTATATCTTCTCCAAAAGGAATCTGATGTGTTTTGACTACTGGAAAAACCAGTAGAAGTGGTTGTGTTGAACGTATCTCTTCGTTGCATGTTTTCTCTTAAACTTCTCCCACATCGCATTAATTTATTTATCTTTAATAATTTAACGAATCCGTCTCTAAACTTTGAAGACATTAAATTGTATAATATTGGATTTATGGCCGAATTTAAATATAGCATTACTCTACAAAAATATAAAAGTATATAATAACCGTCTACACCTAATGACATTATTGTCTCTGGTGGGAATACAATAATCCATAACGTAAGAGCCTTGAAAGGTAACAGGCATACAAAAAATGATAATACCACAGTACCTAACATTAATATAACTTGCTTTCTATAACGTAGAACATTTCCAGCATTACTAGTATTCTTGGTGTTTTGCGCTATTATTACAGGGTTTTCCATTAAATTTTTGGCGATGACACTGTAAAGGACAAGTAGAACTCCCAGCGGGATGATGAAGAAAACAGCAATTATAAGTATGAAGAACAATGCTGACCAAAACGTGTCAGCCTGGGTGAGGCAGACGGGAACTTCAGTGCCATCGGAATATTTCTCATAGGTGAAGGTGGCGACGCCAAGTATGGGACTGCAAAACAAACAAAAAAAGGATTATAGTCATAAAATTATGAAAAAAATCTGTAGATGTCTTTTTGGTTATTTTTATCATCGTCATCATTACAGCCTATCAAGTCCATTACTGAACATAAGCAATCTAGCCTTATAAAGGGATTTTGCATAGTTTTTTCTGTTGACGGACGGGTCGCTAATCGCATTTTTATTTTCTTGTATGTTGAAGAGGATGCTGCTACTCATCACCTGGTTGATTTTCTTGTGTTACCTCTTGAAACACCCACGGGACGATATGGGGCGGTACAAATTCTTACACTGCAACTACACTGTCGGTTATATAACTGCTGTAAATTACAGAAATTAAATTTTTTGTTACTTTTCTGGGTCTATTTTTCTATTCTAGGTCTATTAATTAAATCATTAATAGTTTGCTGCCGAAAATATGCTTCCCCCAAGAATATGGTTAAAATATCGGTTCATAATTACAAAAAAAACAGAATTACACTCCCTATTACCTGCACTTCCAGAAGGCAGATGCATTGAACCTATGATTAGGAGGTCCATGTCCAAGAGTAGGAAAACTAAGATGAAATGCCTCACAACATGTAAAAATGTTTTTATACTAATCTAAGCCAGCCCTTACGTTAATCACACCTGATGATAAGTGGTAGTGTAGCCTAATATGGTGAAGCGCACTTACTTAACAAAAGCCTATTCACCCTAGTCTTGAAGACATCCACATTGTAATCGCAAGTTAAAACAGATGCTGATTAGTTAGTTAGTTATGCCACTCCTTTGATATACACATGACGAACGATGTAACAAACCGTTTGGTAAGTCAATAACGAAAGGGTGAAGACTAGCCGAACGTCGGTTTTTCCGATGGTATATGGGAGACGGAGGAATTAAGTTACGCAATTGAAAGGCTGGCTAATTTGCGCTCGTGTTCAAGGCTGGTGAAATTGGTTTTCACCAGATTTGGGTCATCAATAAGTGTCTAAGTTTGCTTTTTCATTGAGTTCAAAGCTTTCCACCAGCTTGCATATGGCGGTAATACTCCATGCGCGACCAGACTTGTGCTTTATATAGAGTAAGCAGCTGTCCCAGCGTGAAGTATCGCTACACCTTTGCTAGGACTCCTAGCTTTTTTGCAACTACTTTGGCCTTGGATTCAATAAATCAACCTAAGTTCAAGTTTAAGGATATTTAATCCCCCAACAACTGAAAGTGGTCCGTTGATACATTTCGGAAATAAAAAGCCAAGGTGAGCTGGCTCCTTTTTGCAGAGAAGAGACACGCTCGTAATAATAACAAAACTGGCACTCTATAACTTTCAGGTTAGAACATAACAGTTCAAGTACTACTGTTTCTTGGTTGCATAAAGGTCTGCTTGTAGGTCAGAACAATCTTAAGTGTGGCGGCATAACCATCACGCCTACGTTATATGTAAACCGGTGATATGCTGCAACTACAAAGACTTTTTTGTAGAATAATAATAATAATAAATTTATTTATTGAATAAAACAATATTGACACTACAAAGTTGAAGCCCTGACTCCCGAACTAGCAATATAGAACGGGAGCGGGTGACAGGTGACGTTCCACGATTTTGTCGTGCATGCCCTTTTAAGGCTTGATAACTAACCCTAAAATATCAAAGATTGTCGGGGCTTTAGCCCCCCACGCGTTCTCTTCATAAGGAAAAGCGCTTTTCTTTGTGTAGCGAATTTTCGTGTTTTTCCGTGATAGTATACTGCAAGCCATTGTAATATACGGAAGTTCAAGCAAATTGAAGCTCTAATAATTGATGGCATGCACCCCGCAGCGGCCAAAGATGATCAAAGGGTTCTGAAAACCTGAAAAAAAATTAAAGGGCAATTCCGTGTTTTCATATTGCATGCCGATGTAAAGAATGGAAGTTTTTGTAATAAAAACACTCTGGAAATTGGCATGCACCCCTCGTATGACCGTGGCATGCAGTTTGGAATCACGGAAAATCGGAGTTCAATTTTTAAAGAGTTTTCCGGAAATTTTCCACTGTTGGTCATACGAGGGGTGCATGCCAATTTTTCCAGAGTGTTTTATTACAAAAACTTCCATTCTTTACATCGGCATGCAATTTCTAAACACGTAATTGCCCTTTAATTTTTTTCAGGTTTTCAGAACCCTTTGATCATCTTGGGTCGCTGCGGGGTGCATGCCATCAATTATTAGAGCTTCAATTTGCTTGAACTTCCGTATACTACAATGGCTTGCAGTATACTATCACGGAAAAACACGAAAATTCGCTACACAAAGAAAAGCGCTTTTCCTTATGAAGAGGACGCGCGGGGGGGCTAAAGACCCGACAATCTTTGATATTTTAGGGTTAGTTATCAAGCCTTAAAAAGGCATGCACGACAAAATCGTGGAACGTCACCTGTCACCAGCTTCCGGTCTAATAGCTGTGTGTCGGGAATCAGTTCCTTCCCATTTCCATTAAATTACAATTACAAAATGGCTTATCAGCTTATCACAACTCAGAACGAGGTAACAAAAATAAATACAATTTTTTACAAAGCCAAAAAAAATAATATGCATGAATATGTGTGTTGCATCTATGATCCGTACATGTTGTGCGTGTGTATGTGTACATGTGTGTGTGCGTGTGTGTGTGTGCGTGTGTTTGTGTGCCCGGGTGAGTGTGTGTCAGTGTTTTATTATACTTGATAAGAAATGACTCGTACTATTTTTAACAGATTTCCCGTCTCGTTGTACTCGTATGTCAACTTACGAAATCATAATAAAAATTTTGGATTTTAGTCGGTATATAGACAGGTTTCTCGCTTTATTATTTACACTAAAGTAATTGTAAAGTCTTAGTGCCTGGAATTGATAATGCTGTCGAACAATCTTATATCTCACGCGCTCAACTGTTTAACTTTCTCGTCTTTTTGCAGTGGAGGGTAATTCGGTACCGCAAGTTTATGGTATTTTTAATACAATTATAGATATATATAGTTGACGCACAGAAAGTACGTTTGCCATTTTGAATAGTTCAGTAGTTGAATGCCTAAATGGAAGGTATAATATTACTTTGAGGAGAGATCTTTGTGCTCGTTCAAGTTCTATTAAATTTGTTTTAGCTGCTGCCCCCCACGAACATATACAATATGTAATTAAACACTTAACACGCGGAACTTTATAAATAATGGTAACAAACGAGCACAAATATGAGCGCGGCCCCCTCGATATTTACATTTATCTTTAATTTAGAATCAAAATGCAGCTGTGTTGTCGCCCCTGAAGACTAAGATGGAATGCCTATTTTCCAGTAAAAATGGTGTCCATTTCCCTGCACTTATCAAACGAAACACAGCAGCATTAAAATGCAATCTGACGCTGGTATTCAGTGAGAGTGTGGTCCTTCCCGGTCAAACCAAACCATTCGTGCTAAAACTATATGTAGCGAGGCTCTACCACGAATCCGAGACGTCTGGTCTGTGATCATTATTCCGTCGCTGACGCCGTGACGCTTGGAACAATTTCTACCCATACGGGTGAAACCCATGCCCAAGAGTATACTTTTGTGCGCTGATGAAGAAGAAGAAGAAAGATACATAAGGACTGTTTGTAACAATAAAAAAAAACAAATTAAATTTAAAAAAAATGCGGCCAGTCTCAAAGGACATCAGCCATCTGCAGACTTATAGTTCCCAAGTGTATACGCAAGTACAGGTACACTCTCTATTCCCTCACCGTAGTCTGATGGGACAGTAATCCGAAACCAACGAAGAAAAATCAGACGCGGCACCAACGGCTTTACGTGCTTTCATTCATTTCAAGTTGGGGAGAAACATTGACATCGTCCTGAGTCCGGAACTGCTACTGAAAATTTCTTAATAGATAACCCCAATTATTGATAGTTTAACCCGACCGGGGATAACCCAAACCCAAGGATATGATCAACAGCCGCCCTTAAGACCATTAGATCAAAAAGGATCAATCTGTTTGTAAATGATTTACAACCAACTTTACATACAAAAATACTATACCAACCAACAATTAGTCCATGAATATAAAGATTTTAATAAAAAGAGAAAATATGAGATTTTTATATCTCATTTAGATTAGAAAGCTTTACAAACAATACAATTGTAGATTGTTTGTTAAGCTTTCTATAATTGAAGATTCTGTATGTAAAGGTTTCTTATCTAAATTGTATGTAAAATTCTTAAGATTTCTTACCTAAATTAGATGGAAACATCAGTGTCTTTCAATTTGAAATAATTTGCTGGTAGACATAATATGCAGTCAATTGTACTACCCCGTATCAAACCGTGGGTGTCGTGAGAGAAAACAGACGTAAGTGAAACAGCAGAGGGGCAACAACAACATGCAGGGCGTGGCAACTGTGATACCCTGCTACGAAGCAATCTATGGGAAGTCCTATGTTTAGCAATTTACTTAGAAAGGCATTAATTGTGATGATGATGATCAACCATGCAAGCCAGGCGTAATTTAAAAACATTGGCGTTATAAATTATCTTAACTGATTATGGAATTAACACTTCCATTTGTATTTTATATTTATTTATTTTTTTAAATGTTTACCAACCAGTTTCACCCTAAATAGAATCAACATTATCACATGGAATTTTAAAATATATTTAAAATAATTACTGCAGAATTTTGCGATATACTGAATTAGTCGGTTTAAATATTAATCAAATAAAAAGTATAACAGAGACAAATACAAGTGCTAAAAACAATAAGGGTTCGATCCTCACCAATTGATAACAATCACGAGTATTTTGTTTTAATTGCTCAAATTTCACCTCAACTCCTCCAAATCCATATACCTACGTATACATGCTCTCCTAATTTGGCTCATTTTCAACATATCGCCAAATTGGTAATTAAACTTTCGTCTAAGACGTCCCTTTCCGACTCTGCCGTTCACTTCTGCAACATAAATTTTTTCTCTTTCCTCATTCATTTTTTCTACATGACCAAACCACCGAAGCATTCGTTTCTTAATCCTGGACACAACATCATCTTGCAAACCACACTTTTCTCTTATGACACAATTTCTCACTCTGTCACTCAGATTCAGCCCTAACATACTCCTTAACGACCGCATTTCTACTGCGTTTATTCTACTCTGGTGCTTCTTTTGCCACACCCAACTTTCACTATCATACGCTAAAATAGGAACTAACATAGCATTACGAATTGCCATACATCCCTTTTTTGACACAATCTGACTTTCCACAATAGAGTATAGAGCACCATATACTCTATTTCCTGCCTTCACTCGTCGTTCTATAACCCTTATCATATCTCCCATCCCTGCTAAATAAGCATCCTAAATATACAAACTCATCTACTTGCTACATACTGTTATCAATAGTATTTTATATCGAGATGTCATACCCCAATAATTACCCCAATAAAACCACTCGGTAAGTTTTTCATAATAGACATATTGCAAATTGCCCTTCAAGCAGACCTCTGTAACTTTTGCTATCTGCGTGAAATAATTACCCACAACCGCGACGCACCCAGGGTCCCAGGGTGAAATACGCAGTCGGAGCTAGCGCGTTGTAGGCAATTGAATGTTAAAGTTTTTTAACGCTGTTACGTAAATAATTTTTTGTAAATACTTGTTGTACGTGGGACCTTTACTGGCTAATTAAGAAGAAGGGTGCCAGTCTTCTAATTGCCAACTTTACCACATGAAGGGGTAACCTTTCTAATCAACGACCATGCCTCAGGTGGCCGTATAAAGTAAAAAAGTGTAAAGTTACAGCCTATACACGTCCCACTCCTGGGTACACCTCCTACCTCAATCAGGGCGGATTTTTTAGGAAAAGAAAATGATCACCATGCTGCTTCAATGTGCGTTGGTGGACTTCAATGTCTTACAAATATTTTATTTTTAATGTCACAGACATGCAGTTTCCTCACGATGTTTTTCTTACTACCGACCACGTGGTAATGTTGCAATTTACAACTCTGTTTCATTGATACCGTGGGGATTTAGCCCGGGTTGCTGACGTACTGTGAAATTTCTAGCGAACGCTACTATATACTTACGGTTTTTTGAATTTGACTATAATTCTTAATTTACTTATTAATCATTTTAGCTTCACAATTAACACCTTTAGTATCGATTTACTCCTTCCTCTACTTAATAATAAGTATCATTATTTTTAAAACCAGTATGTAATTTTCAAATTCAAAATTACGTTACTGACATAACATATTTTAATATAGCATAAGTGTGAAGACCATACTTTCATACGAGGTAGGGCCATGCTGCAGCTATATTAGTAGTATAGTTGTAGCACGAATGGGTAGTAGCTCGACCGGGGAAGGACAACGCTCTCACAGAATACCAGCGTAAAATAGCAGCTTAACGCTGCTGTGTTTCGTATGTTGAGTGTAGAGAACCGGAGAGACCAATTTTACTGCAATATATCATCCCTGTGATCTAAGATTAAATGTCACTCTCCCAGTAAATATGTTACCAGTTCTCGTCCCTCATGAATCATTTTATCAAAACTAAGAATAGAAGCGCGCAAACGTGATACTTCTCCGGTCGAATGCATGCATTTGCGTAGTAGGCATAATACAGCGTAGCACTACTACCCATAAATGTAGATGGTCTGTTATTAAAATATTAAACAACAAACTGTTCCTATAATAATCAAATAAGATATGTTTTTTTTTAAATAAAATATAGGTATTAAAACGTAAAATTTTAAAACTTTTGGTAAATCCAAATTTGCGTGCCTTGTGTGCTCATGTTATACCTCAATTTTTAAAGTATTTTAAATACACACAAGTTTTAACAAATAACCTTACCTACTACTTATAACTTTCCGATAATTTTAGGTCAAACGTCAATTAAAAAAGCTTGGAAAATCCAAAAGTGCACGACTCACAATGCTTATATAATCGTGAAAAAATTAAAAAAAATTCTCAATCTACATTAGAAAATATTTCTTTTAATTTCACTATGTTATTATTATTGAGATACTTTCCTTTTTTCTCTTTCTTTTTAATAAAAAAAACTTTTAACAGAATTATGTACTTATTTTTTTCCTTTAAAAGTCTGTGTGGTATGTTTGACCATATTATGACGTCCATTAATGCAAACGCTTACCTACTCATTGTGTAAATATAAAGTACTAATTTATATTTTTGATTTTTGCATTATATATAATAAGCGAATAGTATATCTATTTTAAAATATACTAATGTAATATAACCTCATTGATTCATAAAATGATGCCGTGACAATTATGATACTTATTTTTTAAAGAATATTAACAATGCAAAGAATAAGCATTACTAACATTCCTCTTAACCACTCATGGTAAGCTTAAACTGCTTGTGTTACGAGTGGTTCACGCTGGTAGTCGAATGGCGGATTCGAACCCACGACCTTTTTGAGTTCGCGGTCCGCGCCCTGCCATTAGGCTACTGTCGCCTACCTTTCTGTACTACATAACATATACGCATACATTAACATTTCAAAATCTTCCTTTAAAGAAAACACTACGTTAGCTTCGATCTACGGTAAAATTAATATTAACAATTTCTTATTCCTATTAAGGTTTTGTGGACATACGAGTACGTAATACAACCGTGTAATTTCATCCGCGTCCAATATCCGTTAAACACGTCGAAACATGGAAACTCACGGAGGGCCTTGGCGGTTGTGTTTGCTATTATATCTAGTGACCTTCGGTTGCCGACACCATTGCCATTGCATCCTGGTGAGTTACACTATTGAAAGTAAACTCAAAAAGCTTTTCTCTTCATTTTAATTTTCATAAATTGAAAACACTTGTCCGTTTAATTATTTTGTAAAAGTGATTTCACAGTAAATAAATTACCGAGGTTACATTAATGATGTATCATTGTTGAAAGCTTTTCAGGAAGTACAGAAAGAAATTGGTGAGAAAGAGCGATTCATTTTTCAAATTGTAACATCAGATAAGTACGTTGAATGAATAATGAAATCCGGACACCTCTCATCGAATCAAAGTTCCGTTTCTTGGCAAATTTCCATATGACAGTAGTTCTAAAAACATTAATTATTGAGGAGAACATCCATCTTCCCGCGTCTTTATTGGATGGGTTCAAGCTAAAGATAAACTATTAAGCATAGTGAATTTATGGTTATATTGTTTCTTTTGAAAAAAACAACCTATAGTTTTTACTTTGACGTGGTAGAGCCAAACATGCGGTAGTGCGTTAACTATAATATAATTGCAGCAGCAATTACATTATAGTTAACGCACTACTGCGTTGCCTCGACCGGGAAAGAATCAGGCTCTTACAGAATATCAGCGTAGAAGCTACATGCTGCTGTGTTTCATATGATGAGTGTAGAGGAACAGGTACCCGTTTAACTGGAAAAGAGGCGTTCCATGTTAGTCCTTAGGAGTGACAACGCGGCTGTATTTTGATCGTTCATCGAGGATATATGTAGGTGACTATGGGCCACAGCATACTAAAGCACATATGTATATGTACTTTATATTTTCCAAATAAAAAAAAATTATATTCAATGAGGAGATTATTCAATGAAAGACTCACATTACCCAACAGGTTAAACATTTTCTATATTATATTTCGTATAATAATTTAGGCCGTGAATACACATAAATGGAAGAATAAATTTAGAATCCCAAAAAAATTCTCACTCATAAAACTACTTCAGCAATTGCTCAATTTATCCTTAAAATAGCATAAGCATACTCGTATTTTAATGCTATTTCTTATGCTACTGCATACTATATGATCAGAAGTTAAAGAAATAGAAAATAAAAGAAGAAATTCTTATATTTGTAAAAACAAAGGCAACAAATAGTTTTATGAGCCAGCTCAAACAGTTTTATCTAAAAATTATAAATATATTACACAAAACTCTCTGGGAAGTCGTAATCGATACTCCTCGATTTCTGGAAGCCGACAACACAGTCTACCCTTATCTTTTGGTACGACACAAACTTTTTATTACTATCGCCCTCCAAACTTTTCGCTTTAGCGCTGTTTATTAAAACGCTTCGTCTCAATGAACCGTGGCAACGATTCGACGAATCTAGTTCAATATCAGCCCTATTATTTTTACCACTAACATTGGAATGACCAATAAATTTCGTCACTACATCTTTTGGATAGGAACGCCTTATTTTATGATCCACTTCAGAATTATCAGACACTTCCAATACATTACCCTCACTCCTCATTCTACTAATCTTATTTAGTTTAGGACTTGGACAAACTGGGGCTGACTGTTGCCTTACGAATCGTTTATTCGTAAACATCCTGTAAAATCCGTTCGTCTTAGCTCTGTTACTATCGTCTCTGCTCTCTTTACTTTCGGTTTCATTATCACTTCTATCCAAGCTGCTTCTGTGATGGAAAAATTTCTTTAAACTATTTGTTGTTCTCGATAAACTGCTACTGGTGGTGGATGCATTTGTTACAGTTCTTTGCACCCGCCTATTTTGCGTTCTTTCCGAAGAATTCTGATAACAAATACACATTTTACAAAACCCGATTCTAAATTTCGATGACATCAAATTGTAGAGGATCGGATTTATTGCGGAATTGATGTATAACATTATTCTAGAGAAAAATAGGATGTTATACCACTTTTCCGGACTCATATCATCAGATGCTTCTGACGGAGTAACAATAATCCACAAAGCTAACACTCTGTAAGGCATAAGACATAAAAAGAAACACAAAACCACGGTCCCCAACATTAATATGACCTGTTTTCTAGCTCTTGTGTTATATGGGTCGACAGTTTTGTTCATAACCACTTTGGAAGCTGCCGTTATGAGATTTTTGGCAATAATACTGTATAATACTATTAACATAAGTAGTGGTATGAAGTAGAGTAATATTATGACCATGGTGTAGAAAGTAATTGGCCAAAATGTAACAGCTTGCGTGAGACATTGTGAGGAGATCGTTCCGTCTTGGCGCGTGACTGTGTGGTGCTCTGCGATCGCCAGGATTGGACTGCAACAGAAGAAAAAGCGAAAGGTACATTTTCTATATGCTTAAATAAAGTTCTAAGACTACAAGGAAGAAATGAATCAAAACAAGAAAAAAAAAACACTCATCAGAGATTGCAAGCTCTTTGCAATTTCTCTATTCTTTGAAGAAATTATAGTAATTGTAGGTATGTATGTTTTATCTGTAAATATAATATAATTCATTCTTTCCTTCTATTTACTAATTTGTATATTAATTTGCATAGAAATTTTTTTGAAGGATAAAAACAAAAAAGAATTCTAATGAGCATAGATAAAGATTTATTAGTGATATGTAGATAGTGATTTTAATGAACAAACGTGGTTTTAAGCAGAGCTGTGCTAGATATGAAGCTAAAGGAAGTTCCAAAGTTGCGGAGTAAGTCGAATATAATAATAAAACACAATACTAACACAACTTTTGGAACTTCTTGTTTAGATAAAATTAAACTTTTTAAATAAGAAATATAACATTTAAAGCAAAGTACAAACATCATAGCTGTTATGTATTACGTGTTGAAAATTGTACGAACCTTGTCTCTCAAAGGGTTATTAGTTGAAAACTACACATGTGTATATCTTGCTTAATCAAGCACTTGTAATTTTTGTAAATAAAGTGTTTTATGTTATTAGAAATATGTTAACCGTGTAGTGGCGGTGTATGAATATCCACTAGCCCACATCATCCCGTGAGTGTCGTAAGAGGCACCGGAGGGAAACTGAAACAGGTGACGAGCAGCAGCATCTTCCTGATAACAACTCAAAGTAATGAAATACTGCGGGTGCCAATCCGCCTACCAAGCTTGGTAGCTATGCCAAAATCTCTCCTACGAGGCAATTTACGGCGGAGGCATAAGTTAAGCAATGAACTTTTATGACTGTAACAGTAGTAAAAGTACACAGTAGTAGTAACAGTAATGATATTCTGGATTTTGTTAAAGGAGGAAGAGGAGATTTCTTAGAGAAAGAATTTGTGTTGAGAGTAGTGAAGTGGGAATTAGTTGTGATGGGGATAGTGCACACAATTGAAGGAAGAAGGGAGGTACTTTTCAAACTAGGTAAGACACAATTTTATTACGCAGATCGTAGTAATTATCTGTAATAGTAGATAGTAGATTAATCACATAACCTGAGTGAAACCATAAATAAAGAAGATAAATTTCTTATTAACTATCCAATGTTGTCGACATATCGTGATCAAAGGAGTGCAATAATTTACCAGCGACTGCCTTTTGATCAGGTTATAACGGAGCGTATTCAAAGAAAGATTTGAATAACCTTTTCATTCATTTTTAGTTATTTAAATTCAAAATATTTATTGTAAGTTAAATGTTACGTTTGGCGTTAATTTAAAAATATGATATACCTTACAACTTAACCATCCCTTTCGGGTATTACAATAATAGGTCTGTGACTTACATAACTATAGTGAATAAAATTGTTAGTTATAAATCATAGCTAACTAATTATTTAACCAAAATGATAAAAAGTTAAATTACGTAATAATAAATTAAAGAATACATGATATGTAATTTGATTTATTGAAGAGTAGTGTAATTATGAAAATACTTTTCCAAATTGTATAAAAGTTTTGCATTAATTTTTTTTTGTATTTGTCATGTAACAATAATTTAAATTTGACATTTAATTGTAACAAAAAAAATAGAGTGATTTAATAGACATTAATAATTTAACTAAGAAAATTTTGACTACAGATAGGTATTACCTATACAAATATAATTTAAGACAGATAAGGCAAATGCAAATGTGCTATCAAATTATTATTAATTTACATTGAGCTATTATGTACTACGTACTAGAGGCGACACTGCATTCAGCTACTCTGTTCCACTCAACTGCGGTGCGTACACCGCACTTTAAACAGTCACTCGCTAGGCGCTTATAGAGTTGTCACGTGTTGTGCTGATTTAAAAAAAAATCTCTTGATAAAAATATGCCGTCGTGTGTACTTAGATATTGCACAAATAATTCAAGAAATGTCAGTAAAAACCAAGGAATTACTTCTCATCGGTTGATAAGATACTTAATCAATAAAAAAGTATTTTGTATTAATAATAAAACAAATTATTCCTAAGACGCCATCTTGTGTCAGGGAATATAGATTATGAAATTAATATGTTCAGATGCGACATTTATGTGGGTACTTAAGTATGGGACGAATATATTATTATACACATTTTTTTTGTAGAAACATATATAAGTTATTATGATTTAGAAAATTTTTTCGTGTTTAAATCTGCTTATTATTCTTTTATTTTATTTTTAGGTTTCCACATCAAAGTGATACTTCATTAATTTTCAAATTTAAACGACAGTTATTAAATTACGACGAAGTAAATAATACTATAGATAAGTTAATCAATTGGTTTACTCTTAATAATTTGTACTTGAATGGAACTAAAATTAAATGTATGAAATTCGTAACTCCTAATATTAAACATGTCAATACTAATGTTATTTTAAATGGGGAGGAACTGAGTCTTGTTGATACCACCATTTTTCTTGGAATCACACTAGACGCAAAGCTTCAATGGCTCCCCCATATATCAAAACTAGCTAGCAGACTTAGTTCTGCAGCATATGCTGTAAAAAAAGATTAGAACTCTTACCAGTGTTGAAACAGCTAGAATAGTTTACTTTAGTTATTTCCATAGGATTATGTCGTATGATATTTTGCTATGGGGACACGCGACTGACAATGAAATTATATTTATTTTACAGAAGAGGGCCATTAGAGCAATATATAATTTAAAACCAAAAGAGTCACTGAGACAAAAATTTAAGGAAATTAATATATGAACTCTGGCGTCTCAATACATTTATGAAAATGTAATGTACATACACAAAAATAAAAGTAGTTTTACGATAATAAGTAATATTCAGGAGGAGACACAAGCTAGTAGTACCAGTTACTCGACTCCACCGAGTCAGTAATTCATTCTTGGGGCGATGTATACGCTTTTACAACAAAATCCCGGAAAATAACCAATATTTGTCATACACAAAGTTCAAAAATTTTATTTAACTAAGTTTGTATAAAAAAGGGTTATTATAATATTAAGGAATTTATGGATGATAATAACCCCTGGGAAGGGTGATCGCTACCAAGCTATTTCTAATTTGTCTTGTGTTGGTTGATTGTAAACATGATTGTAAGCTATTATTGGAAAAAAAAAATAGTCCCGCTGGGTTTCTTGCTGGTTCTTACCAGGACAGAGGTTTTTTTTGCGAACCAGTGGTAAATTAAAAAAGTGACTTTCAATAAGTATTGTTATAATCTACATTGAATAAAAAAGTTTCTATTTCTATTTCTAAAAAAGTCAAAGTGGTATAAATTCGTCCATTTTTAACTCTCGCGTGCCCGGCATTTAGGAACGACTTTTATTCTAATTTTAATAAATATATTTGTAATTTAAATGTTGTGTTAGGAAGTTTTGTTAAACGTACATTTAGTATGTTTTTTTTTTTTATATTTCACTTAGATACCTTTTAAAATATTCAGATAAAACTATCATTAAAATGTAATTGTGACATAATACCATGTAATATTATATTAAATAAGCAAATATGATATACAAAATAAATGACAAAATTTAAATATTGCTCTCGATATAATTTACGTATTTAACTATACAATCTATTATTACCTACGGGTTATTCTACCTATGTTTATTCTATGATAAAAAACCAACCGCGCGAACACAGAGTAGCGCACATTTTTTGTTTGAGATAGCTGTTCTAGTACGTAAGTACATATTACTTCAATGTTAATATATATTTACTACCCAGACATCTGCCTCTACCGCAGCATAATGATTTGACATTCAATTTGGAATCAGTTCCTAGTAATTTAAATCAGAAATTGAGACTCTTTTTCTGTTTGTGTTTAAATAAACGTAGTGATCTATGATTATACTTTTTGGCTCTTTGTTCTAGTATAGATTAGTTTATTATTATTTAATAAAATAATTTTGCTTGAGTACATAAATTTAATGTTTTTGTGTAAATAAATTGGGTTATAATATCAGTTCACAGGCATTAATATCGTATTAACTAAGTAGTGTAGCTAACGTTATATTGTATATTTTGGTATTCTATAAATGCTATAATTAAGTACTTTTTTAATAAAAAAGTTCATTAGATAATAGGCGTAAACATTGTAATAATCGATGTAAGATAAATAATTTTCTCCAATAAGTTCTTCGTTGTTCTTCGGTCGTTGTGTGTCGATGTTATGTTTTCAATTTTGACAACTTTACTTTTCAGATAACAGGCACTATACAATGGTTCAATCACCATACAGCCTAGCACAATATGACATACTCGTACATCGATTTTAGTTCGTTATGTTTACAGCTTGAAATGTTTGATTTTTTTAATAATATGTCTGTAGTCGACTGCTTTAATCTTGTATTTGCCCTTGTTAATTTTTAATCAAATAGTTTTCTCTTTTTTTCATATATTTTAACTTTTAAATTTTAATGAAAATTTTATAGAAGGTTTTAATATTTTGTAAACAGTTCTAATGGGATGGTGTTGTTTGCATTAGATTGATAAATTTTACATATTTTTTTGCACATAAGGTTATTTTACTACACTATTATTATTTTTATAAATATTTTCCGGATATTTTATTTGTATTTATTTATAATTTTTATGTCTGATGTAAAATCTTTTTATTCTGCGGATGATTCATTTCTTTCTTTTAATTCTTGTAATGCTTCTTTTATTCATAGTGCGTGTAATCTACATGATACACTAAAGGGGGTATTTTCAACTTGTAATAATTTTTTTAACATATTATGTCACATTAATGCTCAAATCATCCTTTGCCACTAATCTGAGCTCGAATTGTCTTTCTCATCTAATTATGTTCATGCAATTCTAGTGTCGAAGACCTGGCTAAGCCATCTTTGGATTCAAATTTATATCCCTTGCCAGGCTATGTGCTCGTAAGAAATGATC